AGAAGTTCAACTACAATTCGGTGAATCAGAGATTCAACAATTATTCGGATTATTCAGAGAGCCAAAACAAATTCAAAGACATTCAGTGCTACAATTGTGGTCGTTTTGGACATTACGGACGTGATTGTCGTAAACCTAAAGGTTGGTTAAACCGATTCAATCGTCCACAGATTAATCATATTTCAATTGATCCAGATTCTTCTGGCACCTTTTGTGGTATTACGGATATCGTGAATCCTAATTCTATTCTGATAAAGCAAAAATGGATTACGCAAAAAGTGAAATTGAATAAAAAATTAGTTGAAATGATTGTTGATTCGGCCAGCCAAATTAATATTCTGAATGAGGAGATTTGGTCAAAAATTGGCAGTCCAGAATTAGTAAAAGTTGATTATTCAGGCTTCGGCCTAGGAAAGACAAAATTCGAGATTGAAGGGAAATTCAAAGCAATTGTAGAGCTATTCGGAATTACGTCAGAAGAATTCCATTTGGTCAAAGGAGATGTCAATATTTTGGGATTGCCAATATTGAATAAATTTGGAACAAATTCGAGGATTCTAGCAAAATTCATTCCAAAAGAAGGATTCAATTCTCCAAAACAGAAAAAATGGCGTAGTCCTCAGCCATTCTTGAAAAAGGAAGAAAGTCCATTCTGGAAAAAGAAAATATTCAAAAACGAAGAAACGCCCAAAAGATGGCATAAAAGAAGCCGATTCGCCAACAATGAAGAAGTGTTAGTCAAAAACACAAACAAAAACGGAAAAACGTTATGGCTGCCTGGGAAATTAGTCAACAAAGTAGGCCAAAAGTGGAGAGTTGAAGTTCCACGCCTCAAGTGCATTGTAAGTCGCGAAGAATGGCATATTCGAAAGAAGTATTGGTTAGACAAAAACCAATCAGATTCTGATAATTCTATTGATGAGCAGAGCTTTAAGCTCAATCAATTATTCAATAAAAATATCAATTCGAAGAAAGAAGATGATTCAAAATTTCAAGAAGATGAAAATAATTCGAAAAATATTCCAGAAGATTCTATTGAGGGTTTAGATGAGCTGAAGTCCGTTGATGAGAAGAATGAAGACGAAGAGATGAGCGGGATTAGCATTGATGCTTAGGGTTTGAGATAATATTTTTTTGTTGTGATAATATTTTGTTTGTATGTATTTTTTGTATTGCCCCCTTTTGTAATTATTGTATTTTGCCCCTTTGTATGTATTTTTTGTTTGTTTGGAGACACTATTCGGAGTATTATTTTATTCAAGTGTAAAATTATTCTTATTAAAGGAGGGAGGTGTTAGGTATTGGCTTAGTATAAAAGCCTTCCTATTATTCAGTCGTGGTCTTAGTCTTATTGTCGCAGTGTTATTCTTATTCTATTCTGTCTCCACCTATTCGGCGCTTAGCCATATTCCTATTGTTCGCCCTTATTGTATTTAGTATTGTAGATAAAGCACAGTTTGTTAGTTACTGTCTTATCTTGTGTTTATTCTTGTTAGTACGTAGACATTCAAGTCACGTACATAACAGGTTGTATCCGGTTGGAGTTTGTTGAATGGTATCAATTTTTAGTTTTCGGAAAATCTAATAGAAATACAAACTTTCAGGATAAAATAAATACATATGTATTAACTTGTTCGGGCGATCCTTTATGTAGACGGCAATTTTTTTATGTCGGCGGCAATTTTTAGTTTCGGGCAAATTTTAAAAACAGTAAAGACAGAAAATACATACATAATTGAACAAAAACACCCAATTCATTAGTAAAAGGCTAAAGAAGGACAACTTTTCGTTCTAAACATTATATTTTTTTAATTTTATATTAACTCTATTAATTAAAAAACAGACACAACAGGTTATAAAATATATTTTATGCTGTAACCATTTTTTTATTCTTTAAAGATAAATACCACACAGACAGAAAATTTATTCGAAAAAGGCGAAAGGGTAAAGTTAACCTGTATATTACCCAATAATTTATGAAAAAAAAAGATTTATGGATCAGATTCACTTTTATTAGTTGATAAAAAATTTGATTATAAAAGTGAAGGAAATATTCTGAAAAATATCAAAAATTTGTTTTTCCCAAAGCTTTCCCAAAGCTAAAAATAATTCCAATTGAGAGGCATATTCTCCAATAAAATACTCTTGATAATTTAACCGGAAGGTAACCGGAAGATTTTGATTTTGAAAGAAAGACATAACCAGTATTTTTCCGGAAAATTTATGTATTTTAGTTTGTTTTCCGGTTACTTTCCGGTTACAACCGGAAGAGTATGCAAATAAACACAAAATTTCCGGAAAAATTTGTGTGTTCCGGAAAAATACAAATTTCCGGAAAACACATAATTTCCGGAAAAATACAAGTTTCCGGAAAACTTTGTGTGTTCCGGAAAAATGCAACTTTCCGGAAATTTTTGTATGTTCCGGAAAAATACAAATTTCCGGAAATTTTTGTGTGTTCAAGAAAAATACAAATTTCCGGAAAAACACATAGGTGTATATTTATTTTCTGAATACACAGAAATATACTATATATTCCGGAATAGTATATTTATGATATATTCCGGAAATATTTTACCTATATATTATTTTTCCGGAAACTGTCTGCCTATCAATTCGTTGTTAAGACATTCTGTAAATTGAAAATAGTTCGCTAATTTTTCTAAACTTTTAAGTTAAAAATGTCAAATCGTTATAGAAACTGTTGCCTTTTATTTTTATTTTTGCTGTTAAATGAATCAGTTGCATTTTTATTTAAAGGAAATAAGTAAGGAAACAACGGACTGTCATTAAATAAATTTTTTAAATTTAAGTGATGCACCAGTTGTTGTTAGAGGTCGAAGAAATTGTGGTTGCGGTGGTGGAGGAGGTGGGGGAGGAGGATGCGGTGGTGGCGGCGGAGGAGGATATGGAGGAGGTGGTGGTGGCGGTGAAACAAAAGTAATAACTTTAAGTTGTGGTGGAGGAGGTGGTGGATATGGAGGAGGTGGTGGTGGAGGAGGTTGTGGAGGTGGAGGAGGCGGTTGCGGTGGAGGCGGTGGCGGCTGTGGAGGAGGAGGTGGTTGCAGCAGCGGTGGTGGTGGAGGATGCGGTGGTGGCGGTGGAGGTGGCTGTGGAGGCGGCGGTGGATGCAGCAGCGGTGGAGGAGGAGGAGGCTGTGGAGGCGGCGGTGGATGCAGCAGCGGTGGAGGTGGAGGAGGCTGTGGCGGTGGAGGAGGATGCGGTGGTGGCGGTGGAGGAGGCTGTGGAGGCGGCGGTGGATGCAGCAGCGGCGGAGGAGGAGGCTGTGGAGGCGGCGGAGGATGCGGTGGTGGTGGTGGAGGAGGCTGTGGTGGTGGAGGAGGTGGTTGCGGAGGTGGTGGTGGAGGGGGATACGGAGGTGGTGGTGGTGAGACAAAAGTGATTACTCTAAGTTGTGGTAGCGGTGGAGGTGGCTATGGCGGAGGTGGTGGTGGAGGATGCGGTGGTGGTGGCGGAGGAGGCTGTGGCGGTGGAGGAGGTGGCTGCGGTGGAGGCGGCGGTGGATGCGGTGGAGGAGGAGAATGTGGAGGTGGTGGTGGAGGATGTGGCGGTGGAGGAGGTGGTTGCAGCAGTGGTGGTGGAGGATGCGGAGGTGGTGGCGGAGGAGGCTGTGGTGGTGGAGGAGGTGGTTGCAGTAGCGGAGGTGGTGGTGGTGGATGTGGCGGCGGAGGAGGTGGTTGCAGTAGTGGTGGAGGCGGAGGAGGATGCGGAGGTGGTGGTGGTGGCTGTGGAGGAGGCGGTGGTGGGTGTGGATGTGGTCGTCGCCGCAGACGCTTTGCTCTTCTACAACGTTCAATGTCCATGCTGTCATAAATTTATTTTAAAAGATAATCATTTTCATTCCTTAGCTTTGTATATTTGTAGATTCATTTTAGTTCTATTTTTTAGTTGATTTTTAGTTGTAGCAAAAAGATTTTTATAAATTTATAAATATTATTTTGATTAAATTTTTACTGACGTTTCTGGTTTTACAATATACTCATTAAAGAAACTCATTAAGACACATAATGGTAACAAAAATTTATAACGAGACTCAACAAATATTTATTCAATTGTAGTGGGGAATGTCACAAAAAACACTAGACACTCGATAAATTCCCTCTTAAAGGCCGTTCGGAAAATCAACTTAATTTCAGGCAATAGGGTTGGACACTTTCCATATGGCCATTAAATAAAAGCAAGGTTTATTTAATGTTAGAAAAAATAGAAAAAATTGCTTTTATAGAAGACAAAGAAAATATATTTATATCTACAACATATCAAATATTTCTTTTAAAGAATTAAATATGTGAACCTAGTTTATTATTAAACTGTCCGATGTCCGCAAAGTGTCCGCATTGCGTCGTTCCGCAGACGCTAATTTTTGGGTAGTGTTCCTTCGGGTACACGTTAAAGTTTTTTTAGCTGGTTTCTATTCGGTTGTGTGGTACTTTTATTGTAATTTATCGTTTTGTTTTAATTAAATCTAACAAAAATATTTAGATCTTTTTATTTTTTAAAAACCTCCTCAGTAGGGTTGGACACGACCGATTATTCACCAGTATCCTCGTTTTTCGGTTCCGGTTTGGTTAACCGTTTGTGTCCAACACTGCTCTTCAGTCTATCTTCTACTATTTTCCCTTTGAAATCATATTCAAATTATTGCCTCTCAAACATTTATTCCCTTTATATCTGTCAATCAAATACACTTTTTTATAAGTTATTTTCATCATGCCGCCCATTTTTCTTTCCTATTCCAAATTGTTGTGTGTTCTAAAATTATGTAGACAGCATTTGAGCCCTTTTTTGATCCCTATTTTTTGAGATTTTATGATGACCCCAGACAATTTACCTATTTACATAATATTATATTTTTCATTTAATCATTTTTTCCTTCCCAATATTTTTCTGTTCAATTCTCTTTTACCTAACAAAATTTCAAGATTATAGGTATTTTAAAGAAAATTTACCAACAACTTTAGAAAATAATTTAGAAAAAAAATGGAAAAATCGGAGGAGGCCATAATTAGTGCCCAGGCTGATTTTGCAATTAATTTACTTTCCAATGTTGTTTTTGGGCAAAATAAACCTGTAGAATCCACAATAATTTCTCCTTTATCTTTATCTATGGGCTTAGCTATTGTTTATGCTGGAGCTGATGGTGAAACTAAGGAGGAATTTGGGAACTTGTTGTCTGGAGGTAAGATAAGAGATGAGACCGGGGAGGGTCTTCAAAAGAAGGGGTGCCATTCTTTCCCCCTTTTTCTACTTTCTTTAAATTTTCTACTTTTATGCCGAATTTTATATCATTCGAAAGAGATCTTTGAGCTGAGTCTATCGACATAATCTGATTTAAATAAGCAAAGTTATGACATGTTGAATTAATACATTGTAGCAACGCACTCTTAATAACTTTTTCAGGCGTGGATAAGCTTAATATATCTGTTCATTAGAATCGTAAAATCTAACATAACTTTTGGTATCTTATTTGTTAGATCAAGCTCGAAGAGCTCTTTCGAATGATACTACATAATAAATTATTGTATATTAAGTAAAATAAACCTAAAATAGTCAACAAAAAATCCTAAATTTAGTCATTTTCAAGGTTTAAAAGAAGGCGAAACACATGCATATTTTGGAAAATTATTAAATTCGTATACTAACGATAAATCAGAAAAATATACTTTGGAATTGGCAAACAAACTTTTTGTTCAAAAAGGATTTAAAATTTTGGAGGAATTTAAAAATTTTGTTAATGAAAATTATGAGGGGAAATTTGAATTGTTAAATTTTGGGGAAAATGTAGAGGCGGCCAAAGTAATTAAATTAATTTATTTTTAGTATTTAATTGTACCGGCTATGTCTCGGTCGTAATTCCGAGTTCTTACTTTTGATTCATTTCCGATTTCCGACTGTTCCGCTTTCCGGCACCTTCGTCATTTACGACCAACTTATTCAGTTTCCCTCTGTCCAAATTTTTATTGCTGTACGAAGATCACTCACTCAGTAATGATGATGATCACTCACTCAGTAATAATCAGTACTGATGATCACTCAGTAATGATAAATAGAGTGCGGACGGGATATGTTGTGTCCGCACTTGCAGAAAGAACATAAATGAAAATAAATAAACCATCATTGGGATGGATGGTGGCACAGTCGGTTGTGCTTTCGGTTTGGGCCCTTTCCGTGATGGTTCAATTCCATCTCCCATCCACAATTTTTCTACAGCATGAACATCGGACATGACAGGATAGGATCCTGAACGGGATTTTGCAGGATCCTGTCCCTAAGTCCCCGTGTTTTAAGCGACGAACGGTATTATCGAGTTTATGGGATATCGAGTTCTGAAAATTCCGGAAAAAAATTCTGAACAAAATTCCGTTACGGGATCCCGCAAATGCGATTTTTCTTCACTCTAATAATAAATATTTTTTAAAGTTAATTAACGAATTTGTTGAAAAAACAACACACAATAAAATTAATAATGTGGTCAGTTCAGATTCTTTAGATTGCAATACTCGGTAATATTTCCATTATAATAACGATAAAATTTTTTTTCAATTTAATTAGTCTCTTACTGATCAATGCTATCTACTTTAAAGGAAAATGGCTTCGTACCTTTGATCCAGAATCAACTCGAAAAAAAGATTTTTATATCGCTGAAGGGAGAAATAAAACGGTTAATTTGAATATAGACAGTCTGGAAAAGCTTTAGTTTGATAATTACCTAAGCTGTTTAATTTTCGATTTTCGAGTGGTTTTTCTTTAAAATTTCAAATTTTTGAAAAACATTTTTAAATCTGACAATTTTTCGTCTTTGTGGATGAAAAATAGAGGACAAAATTTAATTTTATAATTTTATTTTAAAGGTTGATATGATGACAATAACTAACTATTTTCTTTATTTTGAAGATAAGGAGGTTAAAATTTAAATCTTGTAAAGTTTTAGTAAAAGATTTCATATAGTATGACTTTTAAAGAGTAAAGCAGTTGGGCTATAGCTATTTTTCTCCTTTAGCTAGTGCAAAAGACTATTCGGAGGCTGGGTGCAAACCAGCATCTTCGGTAGACCGGACTGATGTACCACTTCACTTACTCACAGCTTTAGGAATTAAATAGCCGTATGCTTTACATAGTAATTAATTATATATTATTAATATTATATTATTAATATTTAATTTTTAATATTTAATTTTGTAGCTACAAATGCTAAGAATGAAATATTCTTGTAAAGAAGATATTTATATGATTATACTCTTGCCTAAAGAACGTTCTGGTTTGGAGAAAATGACAAAAAATTTGAATGGAGAAAAGATTTTAAAATTGCTTAAATGTGGATATACAGCTAAAGTGGATGTAGGGGTTTTTTAATAATATAAATCCAGACTTGCATAAAAAACGCTGGCGTTTGCGGAAAACGCTGGCGGAAAACGCAACTTATGTAAGCACACAAACTGCGGAAAAACGCTAGCGTTTTTTCGTTTCAACGCAGCAGCGTTTTTCCGTTTTTCCGCTGCTAGCGTAAAACGCTAGCGTTTTACGCTGCGGAAACGCATATTTATGTAAGCACTCTCAATTTGCGGAAAAAACGCCAGCGTTTTTTCTCTCTCATTTTTACATACTATTTTCGGCGGAAAACTTTATGTAAGCGTAGCATAATGCAAACATTTTTGACTCATTTGTACAATATCCTTATCCACAACCAAGTCTGTATAAAACTATTGCCCAATGGTGATCGAACTCTGCCGGACTTCAATAAGGGGTTTCGGTTCAAATAAGGGGTTTTCGTCATATTAGGACTATTTACTGACTGGATTAATACAAAAAAAGAGACTACTTTTCCTTAAAATGGATAAAAATTAGGTATTTTTTTGTTAAGAGCTGGTATAAATTTATTTCTAATGAACGGTACTTTAGCTATAATAGTTCTTATTAGCATAAAATCTATGACATTTTCCTTCAAGGTTTTTATTCCCAAATTCAAACTTGAATCTACCCACAATTTAAAAAATGTGTTGATCAAGTTGGGCCTTACTTCAGCTTTTGGAAATGCAAATTTCTCCAAAATTACAACAGACGTGCCCTTAAAAATTGACAATGTTGTCCAAAAAGCTTTTATTGAGGTGGGAAAATTTTTTGAAACTTTCTTGGGGAAAAAATTTTCTTTTGAAAAAGGTAAACGAAGAAGGTACAGAAGCTGCAGCAGCCACAACATATTATGCATACACTCCAACTTCTCATCCCGTGGAGGAGGAGACATTTTTAGCTGATCATCCATTTACGTTTATGCTTATGAAGAAAAATGAAATTCTTTTTTGTGGTGTATTTCAAGGATAGAATGTTAAAATAAAAGATACTGTTTTAAAAAAAAGATAAAGATACTGTTTTCTGATTTAAATTGTTGCCATACTCATTAAAATAAAATTCATAACTTTTATCATCAACTTAATATTAGTTGAAAAAATAATTACCATATTTTTCCAAATAAACACTCCCAATTACTCCACTCCCCAATACAGCCCCACTTTTGAGGGTAGTTGAAAAATAGAGCCCACTCTTTATTAAAGCCGCATTCCCTAATAAAGCCCCAGTCTGGAGGACTGTTGAAAAATCAGACACATGGGGCTGTATTTGGTAAAATACGGTATATACGTTTATTTGACTATCAGTATCATCTACCTCTCTTTGTGATACAAGGGATTGATATGGAATTTAGGATTGATATTGAACTCAGTTAGGTTGTCCATCTCTTACTATATCTACCCTCATTCACCAGCAAGTATCAACTATCTACATATATCCCTTTTCCATCCAGTCATTTGGCACCATCAAATACCCTTCATCACCTTCCATGTCATCTCCATTCTTGCAAATACATACTTTTATTTTTCATATTAGCGCCTCTTCCCTTCAGTTTTTGTCAATTCCGTTCATTTCATTAAGAAGCCTTTTTTCTTCTTTTTTTTCTAAAAGATGCCCTTCAAAATTCTTTTTTAATATAAGATGTGCCGCCTTTTTTAGAGGTTTGTTGTTGACTTTTGCGGCAATGTGAAAAGCAGGCTGGCACTCATTATGTTTGTGTGTTTGCATGCGCGCGTGTGTGCCTTCTTACCCTAAAAACACATAACCACCATTTTCCTAACAGCCTCATTCTCCTTAAGAAACGAGTTTTCTCCCTATTCTCTTCTAAGGGTGAGAGACTTCTTTGGCCTGTTTATTTTTCTTTTAATTTTAAATTTTTTGAGTTGCTTCTCCATTGCTTTTTATTCCGTTATTTTATATATTTGCCCTTTTAATTTGCTCCCTCTCCAACTCATTTTGGCACATAAATTAAAAGAATGTCAAAAAACAAGTAACAGGGATGGGCTCTCTTCCGCTTTCCTTTACCCCTTCCGCGAAATTACACACTTTGACCCATCCGCTTTGGGCCTGTTGCTTTTTATTTTGTTCCGCTATCTTCGTTTCTACCTACCGCAGAGTCCTTAAAAAATTCTCCATCCGTATTATACATATTTGAGGACTGGCGCCAATCCTCGACCCAAAAATTAGCAAAAAGCCGACATTTAGAAGAAGATGAACTGGCATTTTTAAGTTTATTTAAGAATCAAACTGAATAAATTTTTATATATTATGCAAAATGAAATAAATATAGAAATCTCGAAAATCTTGAATCCTTTTATAGAACAAGGCTCATTTCGGTCCGAATTCTAAACTATAATTACTATGCATTTCTGTAATATCAATAAATGTGATAATATAAACTAACAGGGGAAGCCTACCTACAATTAGTCTGATCCTTTGGGAATCTCTCTTAGCATTAATTTTAACAAAAGTTCGGTTAGAAAGGACTAAGGAAAAACATAATTCATCCCTAGCTCTTCTTCCCTTCCTAGCTTTATCAAACTTTATTTCACCCATTAAAATGTCGAGAAGCCCAACAGGCGCAACTAGCGCCTCTTCGAACGAAAACACGGCGGCAATCCTCACATTCCATTTTCATTCCATATATGCCACATTCACAGCAGCGAAAGGACTTCTTCTCCCCCTTCCTTTACTCATTAGGCATTCGTTTCCTCTCATTTACCCCTCTAAAAACAGCTTTAAAAACTTCTCTGTCACATCCATTCTCGCTTCAACGAATCGCAAAAACCTTAATATAAAAGCTAAAAAATAAAATAAAAAATATATATTAAGGAAAAAATGATTTTTAATATTAAAGCTAGACAAATATAAAAAAATATTTTTGTGGGAAAATAATATGACTAAAAATGTTTTTAGTATAATAAAGCTTTTACTCGCAAATGTAGCAAAATATATTAAAAAGACTTTATTAAAAGTTAAAA